AGGGGTTATTGGGAGGAAATTGGCCTCCGCAGACACCATTTTCCTGAGATGGGCGTCATGCCTCTGGTTCATTACAGTATGATAGCGAGGCAGATAGTTCTCAATCACCGATTTGGAGAGACAGTACACAAGATCAAAACCTGGCAAAACACGTCTGAATGAAATTCTCTCCCACAGCGTTCCTTCTTGTTCCACTGTGATGCAGTGTGTTAAACTACTTTGCCGAGGGTTCACACCTAGCTAATTTGAAATCGTAAGCAACTCGATGGTCGGTCGAAGATGAGGTTTACGAACTTACCGCATGAATTTTAGTGCGGATCTCGATGTCAAACAGAGGATTCAAAAGAAAGAAATAAGATGCTCAGCGACTGGCGAGGGGACTTCGGACAAGTAGCCCGATGATTGCAAACTGGCTAAAGCCCATGAGTGGGTGAACAATTATTAAAAAGCCTGTCGTAGCGACCTCCTTGGGCAAATGAGGCGTACAAGTGCGTCACTTCCACATGCCTATGTGCTTACATAGCAGGACGAAGGCAAGAAACCGCGGTTGGGAACCAAGTATCAAAGTCGAATCCAAAGAATGTCTTATCGGGAGATGTTGGCTACTCAGGGGAAGCGTCGTGATACATTCGGACGCGACGCGCGCTAATTCTGCAAGAAATCGACAAGCAGAGTCTTTCGGTACAAGCATTGCACTACAAATGTTAGGAAATGAAAGACTTCAACGAGTCTGACGGGTGGACAACCATTCGACAATGACATGAAAGGGTTGATGTGTGAAACAAACTTTGGACTTACTTCCTAATATTCGCAGGAACAAAATGGATATTCTTGCGAGATACACATCAACACATCTAATCCTATTCCGTCCGGTACTACTGAGAATGACGGTACCAAGGATGAATGGATGACTGAAACTTCAGGAATTGGTTGATCAGTGTATGAGAATGTTTTGAGCATGTCTCCACGATTCATCGGGTCCTTATACAATGAGTTTCTCAGGAGACAGCAGTCGAGTGTTTGAAATGACGACAGTTGAGCTACTTGTAACCAACAGTATGGGTTGCAATGCGGACTCCACTAGGTGGCGCAAATCGACCTGACGGTTGTAATCTTCACTTGCAGGATCTGAACGAAGATTTGGACCCTCCGTAATCATTGATACAAAAGCTATCAAAGAGCTTAACGTTCCTGCGAGTCATTGGTGGCCTCGCTATGGTATACGGGAAGGGGTCTTTTTTAGTTAGTTACGGAGCGATAAGTGATCAATCCGTCAATGAAAAATCTCCAGCGCGCGAGACGTCGGCCCATCCACACAATGTGGAGGAAAGACGTTCCCGCGGAGAGTTGAGATGTTTAAGTTTTCTGTTTGTGTGTCTGGAAGGTTGGCGGGAAAGATGAACGCCAATTGCTACGGATATCAATATCAACTCAGGACAACCACTGGTGCTGCGACATTACAGCTTACAACCTATTGCTGCTGCAGAGGAAATTGCTAGCGAGAGATACATCAAATTTCCTACAAGATATAGGGAAGAGTTCAGCATTTTGCCTTTCCGAGTGCGTTAGACAGAGAATAGATTGATTGACCTTGCCCAGACTCTTTTGTCTGTTCAAGACGTACTAAATAAACGTAAGTGTAATTACAGACCACTTATGAGGATTAGGTGATAGCAAATATCCAGACAGGTAAAATAGATGCGACAGAACTCACACTGCCATCATACAATCAAAGCGTATGGTTGGTGGTGGATCTGAGGTGGGTATTTGCATAGAAATTCTCGGGTCGTCAGCTGTCAAGACGCACCATGAGATGATTGCTGAGCTACCTTGGAATCACGCTTCATGCGCTGAACGAAGTAGACTACAATCGCGAAGAATTGCTTTGTCTTTCTTCGAGCTTCAGCTCAGAAAGACCAGCATTCGAGGAATGTCTTGTCGCCATCTGCAAATTAGCCCTATCAAATGGGCTTACAGGTTTCCCTCCCACAATCGATCAGCTACAAAGTTTCCCTCGCCACAATGTATGAGTAGAGCTCGTCAGATAGTGCTCTTCCGCTCCTCGTCATTTTTTATTTTCGTCAAACAAAACAAACCGGTTTGCCTGTAGGTTTCAAGGCGTCCGAGCGTTTGAGCCACTTCGGGAGGTCGCCGCGTACGTCTCTGGATCTTCTTTTCGCCAGCCGATTGGAAAACGGCACGTTTTTGAGCATGCAATGCGAGGATACCTTCCATGCGTAGATCCGGGTTCTGAGAACGTGTTTGCTTTCAAAGTCGCATTGAACGTTCTGACAGCGTCCGCTGGTGCCGGTACCCCTACCCCCTTGACCGTCCCTTCAACACCCACGAGTTTCTGTATCTCCTTTACCGCCTCTCTCCCCACCAGTGGTAACGAAATCGGCATAAATCAGTTGGAGTGCAGGTGGTTCCGACCCACGCGTGCCACCTGTGAAGCGCGTCATAATAGTAGCGTTTGATGATGTAATATCGACTTTTGGGTCTTTTAAGGGGATTGAGTTCTGGTTTACCCGCAAGCTCCCGGACATACCTTGGCAGTGGGGCGGATATCACCTTGTTTGCTGCGCCATATCTCCCATTTTTTCTGCGTGATACCGACATAATTGTTGGCATCGTTGACACTCTCATCGTGTGCGATAATAAACACAAGCGCGTGATCGTGGTCAATCGGCACGCCGCGAAGGTTGTCAATATGGCGTAAACCGCAAAAAGACAAACCGCGATATGGGTTTAGTCATTATTGTTCTCCTAATCGTAGAGATGTGGTTCATCTCCTTGGTATCCAATGTACCCCCGCTTCAGCCGATTTACATGCAAGGGTATCAAGGCGTTGTCAATGGCTTCAGGGAGTTGCACACCTCGGTATGGGGCTTCAGGGAGTTTGTCCAATAAATCCGTGATGGTCTGTGCGGCGACCCGGGTCTCAGTGGCGACGGAATCGCTCGAATCAGGATAGTATTTCCCCCGAACTCCTCAAATCAAAACGAGTTTATTGAAGATGTCGCCATGAAACTTCAGGGTACTGAGCGCTGCGGGGTGTGGCTTCCAGAAGTGACCGGCAAGTAACAACCCTGCCACGGAATCCCTTCGGCTTGCATCTGGTTGACGAAACGTTCATAAAGCACGCGCTCAGCAGCGACGTGCTGATCAATGAAGAAGATTTTATCTCCCGCCTCAGCGACGATATACGTTTTAAAGAGGTTCGTTTGAGTTGGACATCCTCAAAGTCAAGCAAACTGAGATTCACACCATCAGGGATCTCCTGTTGCGGGGGTTGCACGACGATTTCAGTAGGCGTGGACGGGGCTTGCACTCCCGAAGCGTCACTGCGCGGATGGGTCGCTGATTGAGAAAAAAAGAGTTGATACTCACGATTCGGTTTCGTAAATTCCGGTACCGAGCAAACCGATATCTTCAAATCCGGCAACTCCTCCGTAAAATTCGATTAAGGTTGTCAGCGAATTCTTTGCGTAGAGCAGACGTACCCGTTCCAGATGCGAATCGCAGGCACGGACATCAAGTATTGATCTGCCGTTGTGCGTCGAGTGAAAAATGGATGTTCGGATGCGCGGAGTGCCGCCCATGTCACCTGATTCGTGACGTGGTTCATCTCAGTGGTATCGGTTTTGAGGAATTTCAGGCGTGCCGGGACATTGTAAAAGAGGTTGTTAATCGACGTATGCGTGCCCGGAGAGCATCCACTCTCTTGTACGAACGGAAGACCCCACCTCAACGCTAACCTTTGTTCCTCAAGCGCGTCAGCGGTACGGGTGAGGAGTTCAAATTGGGGGAGACCGAGGCGATACTTGCTAACGCTTCGCCGCGGAACCCAAAGAAGTTTGAATACACTCAAGGTTCTCAATGCGGTTCACCTTGCTCGTCGCGTGGCGTTCCAAAGCAAGGAGCGCATCTTCGCGTTCCATACCGCTACCGTTATCAGAGACAGGATGAGACGTTTGCCACCTGCCCGGATTTCGACACCGGATTGAGGTGCTTCCCGCGTCCACAGCGTTTTCGATCAGCTCTTTGATGACCGAAGCGGGACGTTCAACGACTTCACCCGCGGCTATTTATTGGAACATCTGCAGAGAGTATCTTAATCTTTCCATATTTTAATTATAGGGTTACTGCTCGGTTTGGCGAAGCTTGCAAGCCAAAAATTGCTGTTAAAAGCTCCGTGTCAAAAACCGGTTCTCGCTTAGATCAGCGTCCATTTGGAGGAATTGCGTTTTTTATCTTTCGCAATTCAAGGATAACGAGGTTCTAACCCACTCCATATTATTGTGCGTTTTGGTATAAGTAACAGTTGCATGAATGCGTCTGTGTGAAATTCGTCTCTCTGTCTGGTATGTGTCCTTACATATAGGCATTATTCGGGACATCGTGGGATGAAAATAACAGCCAAGAGGGCGATTGATAGGTGAAGGCAGTCACCTTCTAACCGAATCTTTTCAACACCGGTCTGCGGATCCATCTTCGGCACGCAGGAGAGGGTGCCCGCGTATAGGGGTGCTTGGTGAATCGAAAATTTCCTCTGTTGTCCACGCTCAACGATTTTACCGAGATACATCACCGCCACCTCATCCGCGAAGTTTTTAGTACGTCAACGACCGCACAGTGTGCCAGCACGTGATGATATGAAGAGAGGTACGGTGAGATTGAAATTCGCGGTTATGTCAGCGATTTTTTGGAGAGAGTCAGTGAATCTGCGCTTGCACAGCCACAAATCCAGCGCACTCGGTGCATCAGTCACAGGACGATGTTGTTGTGAACTCCGGAGTGCTCAACAGCGAGACAGCGTGCGCATACCGATGCGTTGTGCTCGGACACAGAGAATTCATGCGTGGGTAGCGCGTCACTAGTCCGGTCGATAAACCGACGCGCTGCATCAGTTCTGCTGCGACCCTGATTTTTGGAGCGACGTTCCTACAATGGACTCACCGATTTACCCGTGTGCTGCATCCCCTCCTGAATAATAGCACCTATGGTTCATCCGTGGGATTCAGGACGCGTACGGGCCTGGAAAGATAATCTGCATCTGTTTCCGTATATCGGGTGTATATGTGACGCAAGGCTGTGTGATAGTCGCGCTGTGTTAACGCGTCATAGATCAAGATCACCTTTGACCGGTACGCCAATACGGAGGATGGCTTTGCCGAAAGAGGTTTTGCCGGACCCGGGATTCTCGACGAGTGCAAGCGTCTTACCGCGCGAATATCAAGCGTAACATCATCAACAGCATAGACATAGCCGACCGTCCGTTTGAAGATACCCTTCTGGATAGGATAGTGGACACAGAGGTTTTTCACCTGAAGTTGCGGTTGTGCTTCTGCTGTCCGCGTCGGAGCATCCTCTATTTTATCCGTATCCGTTTCGAGTTCCAGTTTTGAGGCACCAGTACTTACAGCGTTAAACGGCGGTTCAGGGTTGTAGAGGTGGCAGGCGACATTATGTTCGCTACCGTTAACGACATGCAATATTGGCGGAATGGTTTCGCACCCGTCCATAACTTTAGGACAGCGATCGGCGAATCGGCAGCCGTCGTTATACGCAGTGGCTTTCGGGACTCTACCGGCGATTGTATGTAATTGCGTTCCCCGTTTATCCGCGAGGGGTGTCGATTCGAGAAGTTTCACGGTATAGGGGTGCTGCGGTGTCTTGTAGAGTTGCTCCCAAGTGCCCATCTCGGCGATTTTTCCGGCGTACATAACGGCAACACGGTCGGCTATATTGGCAACAACCCCAAGTCGTGTGTTATCAACAGCACCGCCATTTGCAGCTCTTGCTGGAGGCGTTGGATGAGTTCAAGGATCTGTGCTTGTATGGTAACATCCAGTGCGGTTGTCGGTTCATCGGCGATGAGGAGCCCTGGACGGCAGGAGAGTGCCATCGCAATCATGACGCGTTGTTTCATACCGCCGGACATCTGGTGCGGATATTCATCGTAACGCGCCGCGGGTTCCGGGATGCCCACGAGGTCGAGCATCTCGACTGCAGCGTTCCGTGCAGCGGTGCCGCGAAGGTCTTGATGCTGTCGGATCGCCTCCGAAATCTGGTAGCCGATCGTGAAAACGGGATTGAGGCTGGTCATCGGCTCTTGGAATACCATAGCGATGTCGTTGCCCTGAATCCTCCGTTTTTCAACCTCCGGTAGGCGCGTAATGTCCTGTCTTGTAGTAGATGGCACCGCCTGCGATGAACCCAGCGGGCTGCGCGACGAGTTGGATCACGGACAGCGCAGTGACACTTTTCCCACAACCCGACTCACCGACGAGCGCGAAAATCTCGTTTGGCGCAATGTCAAATGAGATGCCGTCAACCGCACGGGCAAGTCCTTCGGGGGTGCGAAAATAGGTTTTTAGGTTTTGTACGCTGAGGAGTGCTTCTTGCATAAGACTACTATATCAGAGAAATCCGCGAAAGTCAAGGAGAATTTGTTTATCTTAATGGTCATTTAGTTCTACGATAAAAGGGAAACCTAAATCTCAACATACACTTGTAGAAGCACGCTCCGATTCGCGACTTTCATAAAAAAATAAATAAAAATCTGAAAACTAAATAGCACTGGTTTATCTTATACTAAAGTTTGGACAATTCGCGTCGCGGGCAAGTTGAGTTTTCAAAGGTCTATGTATTTTTCCCGCAGAGTTTCGCACAGTCTTGGAACTCTGAGAAAAAGACCGCACTCAGCGGAGTGCTATGCATAGAAAAAGGGTGTATCCACCCTCCACACTCCAGCGGAGTGCTATGTGTCTGAAAGGAAATACCGATCTCTAAAACAAATACTGAAAATTGTCCAAAGCTTAGTATCTTATAGTGAAGCCCGAAAATAAATGGACATTTCAGGAACCTGTCGGAGGGGTTTTTACCCCGACCTCCCTTGCCCCGCTGGCGAGGTTTTGCGGCGTAAGGTTTCCCACGGACTCTCACTGCAAGGCACACGCGCATTCAGTGTGATTTCATGCAATCTCTGCATTCCTAACCCGCCAACTCAAGTGTATAGTTAATTGTGGGCGTCGTACGATAATGGCGGATTCGGGCTTGCATTTGAAGAAACAGGGCAGCCTTACAGACAAATTACATCAAACAAGATTGCACGAGGGACACTATAAACTTCAGATTCTCTTTATGTTCTGAAATTAGGCACCCTTTCAATTCCAAATTGTATCTTTCTAGCACTCACGCGACAGGCGATTAATCCCTTACTACAAACAGAATTTGATACTTTGGAAATACGGTGTGTTCTCAAGCGATATGGTTCGTAGTTGAGCGCAATTTTACGGCGTACTCGCCCAAATGCGACGTGCATTATTGCGATTTGCGTAAGTCCTATTTATTATACAAAGGGGTTTCTTTTCACGTCAACCTATAGGCTCTAAACCAAACTCCGTAAATTATATGCCCGGCTGAATTAACTTATAGATCTTCCATAGTAAGACCTTAATGAAAGAGAGAGAAAACAAATGAAACAGAAATATCTTAGCGCATTTTTTACTCGTCTGTCTTATAAGTCTGTCGTTCTTTCTCAGCTGCGGAGATACAGAAGACATGGAAGAGGCAACTGACTCTTCTTCAAATCCTCTTCTTGACGTACCCGATGAACAATGGCTAGAGTTAGAAGACGAAGATTGGAAAAATTGAAGGATTGAGGATTAGGTAGTTGACAGACGCAGGAAGTTGAGGAAACTTATGAACCTCGATATCCGCAGCGCTGGGCCATTTGATACGGAAGATCGACGTTATTCAAAAAATATACCACGCCACTCCTCCAACAGTTAGTGACACATCCCAAAGGTGCGCTAATCGTATAGTTAGAGTTGAGCGGATGGGGAGAAGTGGGATTTGTAACACTTGAGTTTGCTAAGCAAATCGCTGCTAATTCTGAAGCAATGTATTTTCTCTTTCCTACAGCGGATAGTCGGCGTTCGCTTGAAGAAGCCAGAAACCTGCTAAAGCTTATAGAAACGACTTGTGCTAGTTGTCTTCTCAGTGCTTTCGTGAACCAATGTTTGGAACGTTCCTTGATGAAACTCAAAGACCTCGTTCGCGCATAAGCAAAACGCTATAAAAACAAATTATCTAGCACAAGTCGTTATAGAAGCACAAGAAGAACTTCGTTTGTTGGATCAGCTCAGAATAGAATATCCTAAGGTTTGGGTAAAAGGCATGCGTGCCGTACTCATTGAAAGGCATGGAGACATCCCAGAGGTTGACACCAGTATCGAATTTTTACGAAAATTGGAACTGGAGTCACCAAGAACAGACCATGACTGCCACGCTTATATTGGTGCATACAAAACTCTCTACGGTCGTTCTGAGAATTCTTTGCCTTATGAATTCTATGCTATGCTTGAAGCTGTGAATCAGATAGGACAATTTGTTGGAGATGCACGGGTGTGTAAAGTTTTTGACATGAGGTGTTCATTTGGCTTGTGGAGGGGGTGTTGAACCCCGATTTTGCAACGCATCTAAGCCAGAGGGGCGGCCATCTGTGTAGAACGCTCGCACACAAAACCTAAGCCCAAAGGGCGGCATCTAGTAGACGCGCATCAAAACCAAACACTAAAGCCCAAGGGGCGGCATCTGTGTGGCATTTTGACAAAATATTTACACACCCGAGATGCACCGCTCCGTAGACTTGAAAAATACCGAAAAGCAAGAGCGGAAGGCGTTTCATTCTATGATATAGATGGGATGATGCGTAATACACGATTTTGAGTTGTGAACCAGGTTAGAATCCAAGATGGCACCTACTCAGTAAACATGGCACTTGCAGTATTTTCTAAGGAGAAGAGCAATTTCAGTATTAAACACTTTCAGTTCTGATCTTATACGATTGGCAGAAAGAACAGAAAGGAATAAGAATAAAAATAAAGCATGTGATTGTTGTGTTGATTTGCACTGATGTGTGTGTTGAAAGAAAATGGAATGTTGATGGATGATGATGTGAAGGTGTGGGTGTGTGAATGTGTTGTTGGATGATGTTGTGATGATGTGTGTGAAATGAGGAAATGATGATGTGAAGGTGAATGTGAATGAATGATGATGAAAAAGAATGATGTTGTTGAAATTTATGATTGAATTTGCTTTTTTGTGTTGAAAATTTGATTGTTGGTGGTGAATGATTGTGAAATGAATGGAGTGAAGGGATGGAAATGTGTGGTGAATGATGTGTGTGGATGTGGTGTTGAAAGTTTGTGTGTGATGATGAATGATTTGTGATGAATGAAATGATTGATGAATGTTGATGAAATGAGAATGATGTTGTGTGTGAATGTGAAATGGATGCAGTGTGTTGTGTGGATGATGTGAATGAAATGAGGATGAATGAAATTGTGTGAATAGCAAATCAATAGAGGGTTTATTCCATCTTTTCTTGTCTTTCAATCTGCCTCAAAACTGTAAAATTTATATTTAATATTGCTAACCTAATAATGTTAAAAAAATATGTTGGTAGCTTGATGTTTCTTGTCTATTTCCTCAGTCTGTTCTTCTTTCTCAGTTGTGGCGACACGGAAGACACAGATTCAATAGTGATACCAGACGAACTTTACGACACCAGCGAACTCACTTACGACATTAGCGACGCGGAAATTCAGGAGCTGATGGCGTTAGATGTCCCTGCAAACTGGGAAGAGACAGAAGATCGTGAGTTGCGCGCCAAATATTACCATGCACACCTGCTCAAACAATTCGGGAACATTCCTGCTGTTCATATCGTCGCAGCGCGTGAGCGAGAAAAAACATTGACAGGTGTCATCGTATTTACTACAGTTGATGAAATGGTTGACTTTGAGAAGGCACAATATGTTCTCTGGCCCACCAAGCACAATCGTGACAAACTTGAATGGTCGCTGAAGAGAAAAATGATGCAGGACACAGATGATCCAGAACTGTTTGCGAAAATCTACAGAGAGCAGTTGGTCGAACAGCATGGGGATATCCCAGAGGTCGATACTGTTGTGAAGGGAGAGACGAAGTTGTGGTTTGGCGGCTTTAGATTTCCCGGCGATGAAGACGAATACATCGCCTTTCTCGAAGCAAAATATGTGCTGTGGCCTGAGGCCTTGAAGTTGCGAAGAATCGAAAAATACCGAAAGGCGAGAGCAGAAGGAAAGCCGTTCCATCTCATAGATTGGGATAATGACTAACACACGATTTTTGAGTTGAACCAATTTAGAATCCAAAAGGGCACCTGCCAGTTGCTTATCTAATCAAGGCGAAGACAAGAAGCGACAGGCCAATGTAACCTGTATATGTACTTCGCCATTTTTGTAAGGAGAACTTGATAATGTTAAAAAGGTATGTTGGTAGCTTGACCGCTCTTGTATGCCTCCCTCAGTCTGTCTTTCTTTATCGGCTGTGGGGACCCCTGAAGGTAGGAAATCGTCAGTTTCGGTAGGTCCGACTCACCGGAACCGTTAGAGCCAATCGTACTACCAAGCGAACTCTACGATACCAGCGACCTCACTTACGATATCAGCGATGAAGAGGTTCAGGAACTGATGGCGTTAGAACTTCTGATATAACTGGTTCAGGAGAAAAATCCTAAGCGACACGCCAAACTATTTCCATGCGCAACTTCTCCAACAATTCGGGAACATTCCAGCGGTTCATATCGTCGCGGAACATAAGCGAAAACAATTATTGGCACCAGAGGGTTTCACCACAACCCTCGATGTACTGATTAATTATGCCAAAGCACAATATGTCCTCTGGCCGAACGCGTCGAATCTGAAGTCCCTTGAAGGATATCTGAAAGATAAATTAATGCAGGAGACCGATGATCCCGAACTGTTTGCTAAAATCTTCAGAGAAAAGTTAGTCCATCAGTTTGGGGATATTCCAGAGGTTGATATTGTCGTTGCGGGAGAGACAAAAGGAATGTTCGGAGGCTTTAGACTCCCTGATGATGCAGATGAATACCTCGCCTATTACGAGGCACTCTATGTGCTCTTTCCGAATGCGTCGGTTCTGCGCAATCTTGAAAGCGCCCGAGAAGATGTCCGAAAGGCAAAAGCAGAAGGATAGCCATGTTAATAGGCGCGCTTAGCAAGCGCGCCTACTCGTAGAGGTCAACAATCCTTATATTCACCACAAATCCTTTTCACTCGGAAGTGTCAGATGCAGGAGCGGCTTCGGTATCTTGCTGGAGTGGTGCACTTTTTGCGCAACGGAATCCGAGCCAACCGTTCGTGTTTGTCGGTTTATCACTACCACGACTCGCCACAGTCGCGGGTCCAGGTGTGCTCCAAGAACCGCCGCGTGATACGCGTCTCGTCTGAACACTTGTGAAATCCTCCATCAACGCCTCAATATCGGAGACACCGGCAACCGGATTTTTCTTCGGAGAATGTCTATAAAAGTTCTTGTCGTACTGATCCAGACACAATTCCCATACATTCCCGCCCATGTCGTGCAAACCGGACCCGTTTGGTAGATAACTGCCGACGGGCCGGGTGTGCTTTCCGTAATACCCGTAGTTCGCTCTACCAGGGGCTCGGGAATTGCCCCACACATAGCGTTTACCCGCCACGCCGCCGCGCGCCGCCTTCTCCCATTCCGCCTCTGTCGGTAGCCGCTTGCCGACCCACTTCGCATAAGCCATCGCAGCGTACCAACTCACATAGACAACCGGATGATTCGCTTGCCACTTAGCGTAGTCGTTCCCATCCCAATGTTTGAGATAGTTACCGTTATGATATTCACTCGGAATGTTGTCTTTGCGCCACTCAGGATTTGCATCAATGAACGCCTTGAATTGCGCATTCGTCACCTCGTATGGGTCAATATAGAATTCATCAATGTAGACGGTGTGTCTCGGAATCGCTTCCGTGACTTGATTGCTGCCCATCCGAAATTCACCTGCAGGAATCCGCACCATTTCAGTCGATGCTTTCTCCAATTCTTGTGTTGATACATCGCCTCTCCCCTTAGATTGAAGTGCTCTCTCAAAATCAATTTTTGCAGCACCCTGTTGCCCGAGTGCCCGCTTCGCTTTTCCGCGGCTGTCATAGGCTTCGGTATAATCACGTCTATGTTCTATAGCTACATCCAAGTCATCTATCGCGCCGTGATAGTCGCCAAGGGCAGCCTTTGCGACACCACGGGTATGATAATAAGCGGAGGCTCCGTCCGGATTTAGTTGTATGGCTTTCTCGCTGTCAATGATGGCTGCTTGATAGTGTTTCCGCGCTTCCGCGGTCTTTTCCTGGTTCGTTCTCAATTCTCCGAGGAGGAACTTCACCCATCCACGATCATTGTAGTGCGTAGCATCTTCAGCATCTAACTTGATGGCTTTGTTGTAGTCCTTTATCGCCGCCTGATACTGTTTTTGGGCTTTGTCAAATTCTTTTTGCTCAGTATTCAACTCCCCAAGGAGCGACTTTGCCCAGCCGCGGCCGCTGTAATTTCTATCGTCATCTGAATCTAACTCGATGGCTTTGGTATAGTCCTCTATCGCCGCTTGATATTGTTTTTCGGCTGCTGTAGCATTCCGTCGCTTGGCTTCATACTCACCGTAGTGGGAGCGTGTATGTCCGAGACCGCTGTAGTTTTCATCATCTTCAGGTTCTAACCTAATAGCCTCGGTATAGTCCCCTATCGCCACTTGATATTGTTGCCGCGCTTCAGCGATGCTCCCGTACTTGACTACAGACTCACCATAATGTACCGCCACGTTTCCACGCGTAGCGTAGGCATCAGTAAATTCTGGGTCCAACTCAACGGACTCATTGAGATCGGCTATCGCCGCTCTATAGTCCTTATCATTATATTTATCTTCTCCACGCTGGTGGTAACCATAGGCACGGATCCGTTTTTGTTTGTACCACTTCACCAAAGGTTCAACCTCTGTAGATCCAGAAAGCAGTGCTTTGAGTGCATCAGAAGGAACAGCGTAACTATAGGTCTCATCTACGGCGGTACTGATGCCGATAACTTCGCCTCTGCCGTTTAGCATAGGACCGCCACTATTTCCCTGAGAAATATCGGCTGTTGTCTGTAACCATTTATCTTTATACCGGCTGCTGCGTATCGTTCCCTCTGTGAGTGTGAATTCTCCACCACCGGGATAGCCTATCGCGTAAACCGTTTCTCCATTTCTGGCAGCATCGCTGTCGCCGAGGGAGAGTGCTACACCTTCACCCGCGATTTTTAGAATGACGAGGTCGTTTTCCATATCATACGCAGTGACACCTTCAACCATCCAGATGGTTTCATCATCACTGAGTTTCGCGAAAATGGGTCCGGGACGTGCGATGACGTGAAGATTCGTCACAATCTTATCGGGGTGTACAAAGAAACCGCTGCCTGCGCCGATTTTCATCAAGTTTCCGCCTGTAATACGGACGACAGATGCTTTACCTTTTTCCGATGCAAGATCCGCTGTCAACGTTGGGAGTTTTTCAGAAACGTCTTGTTGGGAAACTCGCGCACAAGAGAAGATAAACAGTAAAGTTAAAGTGAAGAGACTGAGTAAACATTTCTTGTTATGTTTCATAGGTGACATACCTCTGACTTTATTAGGAAATTTCAGCATCCGCTGAAAAATTGGGTTCGTTAGAACTCTATAGGACTTACGCAATTTGCGTTCGTCTGCACTCTGTTCCGCAGGGTCCCCGTGCCCTGCGTGCGTTTCAGGTTCAGACGGGCACGGGGACCCGTCCGAACAGCGTCTTGATGCGTAAGTCCTACTCTAATTGTACAAGGAATTTAAAAAGATTAGATGCTGCATCGTTAGCGTCACAGCACAGAGGTCTGCGCGTGTTACTTTATTTCCTGTTGGCCTTTTAATAACCAGAGGATCTGCTTAACGTGCTTCCGTTGTTTGCGTGCTAAACGGTTTCTCGGATTTAACGCAAGTGCTTTGTTATAATGGTCAATTGCCTCTTGATAGTATCGTTTTGCTTCAACTATATCTCGTTCATCTGTCTTACTTTTCGCTATGAGACCTTTTACCCCTCCCAGATTAAAGTACGCCATTGCATATTCAGGGTTAATTTCAATCGCTTTATTGAGATCATCAAGTGCCCCTTGGTCATCTCCAAGATTACCTCTCACGGATGCCCGATTGTTATAGGCGAAGATATGTTCAGGTTAATTTGAATCATTCTATCAAGGTCCTTAAATGCCCCGTGGAGATTCCCTATGCGGTTCTTTACTAAACCTCGTTTGGAATAGATTTCAACCAAATCCGGGTTGAGTTTCAGGGCAGTGTTATAGTCCCTTAGTGCCCCTCTGTCGTCATGTAGTTCCACCTTTTCGTCTGCTTGTGCTTCTAAGGCGTAGGCACGCACCCGTGAATGCTTCTGCATCCGTTCCAACGGTATAACTTTTTCTGAATTCGCGAGTAATTCCTTAAGCACGTTTGAAGATATCGCTGTTGCGACTGTTGCATTACCATCGCCGTAAATAGCTCCTGTGCCGTAAGCGGCCACACCGACAACCTCATTTTTGCTGTTTAGGACTGGCGCACCACCGTTCCCGGAGGAGAAATCGGTTTGTATCTGAAGCCTTTTGTCGTCCCTGTATTTGCTCTTGAGGGTGCCTGCTGCCCCCTTGTATTTCAAGTCATCTCGGTAACCTAATATATCAACTTTGTCGCCTATCTGGACAATATCACTGTTTTCAAGTGGAAGCGGTACGCCTGTCTCGGCAATTTTTAGAAGCACAAGGTTGTTTTTCGCATCAAAATGCAGTAACGCCTTCAATACTGGCCTCTGCCTCCTCCGTAATCTGACGGTGACAGCCTTTACGGAACAACCGAATGCCTCTGTTGTTGAACGCCTTCGCGAAACGATCTCCCGGGATCGCAGCGACTTCCACAGCTCCTGCGAGAACGTTAACAGTCGTCGCGATCGTGTTGGGTTCCACAAAGAAGCCGCTCCCTGTTTCAATATACACTGGCACGGCTGTGTATCCAGTCTCTAATCCAATTGGTTGTCCCCTAATATACCCTGTCACAAAGAAGACTGTAGATTCTCTATTGTTTTCGGTAATCTGTTGCAACAACATATCTTTTTTCTCTTTCATAGTCGGTCTCCTTTCATTGCCTGTGGCGTTAGTACGTATTGCTTATTTCCTGATGTCCGGTTCCAGTTCCTCTGCCTTCTGAAAGTCTGCCGTGGCTGCTGCGTGCTGTCCGATATTGTACACGGAATTTAACTGTAACATCGCTAGAGGCACGGCATAAGGGACTGCATCTGCTACGCTATTTCTTGCTGGAGTTTTATTAACCAACGTATACGCTTCGCTTGTCTCAGATATTTACGCGCTACCGGATTTTTTGGATTTAATGCAAGGGACTTGGTATAACCCTCAATTGCCTCCTGACAGTATCGCTGTGCTTCAACCATATCTCCCTCATCTATCTTAATTTTAGCTATCTCGCTCTTTACGCCACCGAGATTGGTGTATGCCATCGCATACTCTGGGTTAATCTCAATGGCTGTATTGAGATCATCAAGTGCCCCTTGGTCATCTCCAAGATTACCTCTCGCTGATGCCCGGTTGTTGTAGGCGAAGATATGTTCAGGGTTAATTTGAATCATTTTATCAAAATCCTTAAGCGCACCTTGGAGATTCTCAATGCGGAGCTTTATTATGCCTCGTTTGGAGTAGATTTCAACCAAATCTGGGTTGAGTTTTAGAGCAGCGTTATAGTCTCTTATTGCACCCTTGTCGTTATATCGTTCCAACCTTTTTTCGTCTGCTTGTGCTTCTAAGGCATAGGCACGCACCCGTGAATAGTTCTGGAACCGCTCCAGCGGTATGACTTTTCCTGAATTAGCGCGCAATTCCTTGAGCACGTTTGAAGATATCGCTGTCGCCATCATTGAACGATTATCCCCGACAGCAGAACCAGTACCGTAAGCGAACACACCGATGACCTCTTGCTTACTGTTTAGGACGGGCCCACCATTGCCCCCAGGAAAGAATTGGATTTTCATCTGGAGCCATTCGTCATCCTTGTATCTGCTCTGAAGAGCACCTGCTGCCCCTGTGTATTTTGTGTCATCTTGGTAACCGAGTGCATAAACCGTCTCCCCTATCTCAACGGTATCGCTATCGCCAAATGGCAGTGGAGCACCTGTCTCGGCAATTTTTAGGAGTACAAGGTTGTTTTTCGTATCAAATGCAGTAACCCCTTCAATAGTGTACTCTTCTTCCTCGTTAACCTGAGGACGATTGCGTCTACGGAAGAACCGAAAGCCTCTATTGCTGAATACGTTTCAAAAGATTCCGCGGGGAATTGCGGCCAATCTCAATGGCACTTGCTATAATGTCAATAGTCGTCACGATCTGTCGGGTTCCACAAAGAATCGCTCGTAGTCGCAAGATTAATGCTACCGCGATGTCTTTTGACTTCAATCTAATCGGTTGTTCAACAGCATACCCTGTCAGGAAGAAAACTGTAGATTTTCTATTGTTTTCAGCAATCTGTTGTAACAACGCATCTTTTTTCTCGCGCATAGCCAACTTCCTCTCTATTGCTTATGGCGTTAGTAGGTATGGCTTATTTTCCGATATCTGGGTCCAATTCCTTTGCCTTCTGGAAGTCTGCTTTGGCTGCTTCCAGCTGCCCAAGTGCTTCCTTTGCTAACCCACGATCATGATAGGAAATCGCTTTCTTTGGGTTTAGTCGGATGGATTCATTGAAATCTTCAATCGCGCCGTTGTAGTCACCGAGACCAACTTTCGCAACACCGCGCGTGTGGTAGAAAGCAGACCGAAATTTGGCACCTTTTGGTTGTAAATGCAGTGCCTCATCAGTGTCGGATACTGCTTCTTGATATCGATTTCGTGCTGTTTTCCCATTTCCTTCTTTAGTTTCAACTTGCCCAAGAAGATACTGCGTCCACCCGCGATTATTATAGGCTATACTGCACTTTGGATCCTGATTAATAACTTCGGTATAGTCGCCCATCGCCATTTGATAGTGGTGCCGCGCTTCCACCAGAACGCCTTGATCCGCTTTGGATTCACCGATAAGACCTTTCGCTCTTCCACGGTTGTAGTAGACTTTAGTATTGGACGGACTGAGTTGGATGGCTTTATCATAATCTTCAATTGCTCCGATATAGTCACCAAGAGCGGATTTCGCAGCCCCTCGGTTACTGTAAACTACACCTAAATCCGGGCTGAGATTAAGCACAAGGTTATATTTCGCTATCGCTGCTTTATTCTTACCTTGTGCTTGCTTCCTATCCGCTTGTGACCGAACAGCATGGGCACGTATGCAAGGAAGCTTTTGCCATCTGGTAAAAGATTCTATCTCCTCCGTTTCCTTAAAGAGAGACTCAAGCACATTAGAAGGAACCGCTGCTCCAAATTCAAAAGCATCAAAGATACCATCATTCTCTATCTGTTCCATGGAACATGCAATACCAATAATTTCACCATTACTATTTAGCACGGGACTCCCACTATATCCGGGAAAAAACTGCGTTTTTATCTCAAACCATCCTCTGCTATCCGTACCAGATATAGTACCCGTCACACCCTTGTACTCGGCATTAGCATACGCAAGCGTGTAAACTCGGTCACCCACCTTGACATTCTCACTATTGCCGAGACAGAGAGGGGCATCACATTTTTCAGCAACCTTTAAGAGAACCAAGTCATTCTTGGCATCAAATGCGATAACGCCTGTGATAGTATATAAGACAGGATCCTTGCAAACTGACTTTTTGTATCCGTAGGGAAGATCCTTATGATCTGGAAGATAAACGGGAATCCTTGTCACTTTAATCTGCTTTGCCGCAACAGTTTTTGCCAGTGCGACGACATGAATATTAGTTACAAGCGTGTCACTCGCTATAAAAAACCCAGTTCCTGCTACACCAATTTTCTTAGCATCTTTAGAAGCGTTGTCATTAATGCGCGAGAGGAATCTGTGCAAATTCGTATACGTAGCACTACGGTTTCTATTAAAAAACTTATAAATGCGCCAGTGCAAGGTCAATATAGTATCGGGGATCGCTTCTATGTAGACTAAAGCGTTTCTATTCTCTTCTTCAAGCTGTCGTAGTGCTTTATCTTTTTCCTGTTCCATTAGCGGATTTTCCTACCTATCATCTGTGTTTAGTGTCAAGGGTGTTCTTCAAAATCTGGGTCTAATTCCGTTGCCTTTGCAAAGTCAACTTTTGCTTCCTCGTGCTGCCCAAGTACTTCCTTCGTTAATCCACGATCATAATAGAGCAGTGCTTTCCTTGGGTTGAGTCGGATAGATTCATTGAAATCTTCAATTGCACCGTTATGGTCACCGAGACCAACTTTCGCAACACCGCGCGTGTGGTAAGTCGCAGCCCTCCGAAGTTTGGTTCCTTTCGGGTTTGACTGGAGTGCCTTGTCACACTCGGATACCGATTCTTGATAGAGGGTTTGTGCTGCTCCGGTGTTGCCTTGTTCGATTTCCAATTTTCCCATCAAGTACTTCGTCCAGCCCTCCTCGTTATAAATCTTAGCCCAGGACAGGGTTCTCTTTGAATTGAGTTGAATCGATTCCGTGTAATCGTTTATCGCCTTTTGATAGAGGATTCGAGATTTTGCATGATTTCCGTGTTCTGCCTCAACTTCCGCCCAACGTATTCTTGTATAACCCCGACTGTAGTATCCTGCGGAAGTAATTGGAGCGACAATGATAGCTTGGTTAGCATCTTCTACCGCTTTTTGATAGTCCCCTAATTCACCATTGGCAATACCTCGGGCGGCGTATGCCTCCACTTTTGAAATGGCAAGGAACCTGATGTCCTCAATAATTTTGTCATAAATTGCGATTGCCCCTGCATAGTCCCCCGACCCCCGCTTTAGCAACGCGCGTATAACGTAGAAGGCACCTTTAATCTGACCCCACCAGATACGCCGAAATATGCCAACTTCGCTGTTATTCTTCTTAGCTGCAGTGTACGCAGTATAGGCAAGAACCTCCGGTCGTTTTCGCCACGTTGACCAAGATTCAATCTTTGCCGCTGCCGCGCTTGCGAGTAATGTTTTCAATGCGTTTGAAGGAATAGCATAGCCAGCATTTTCGGATTCAACACCTGCTGAACAGACACCTATGGCTTCACCGCTGCTGTTTAGGAGAGGGCAGCCACTCCACCCTGGTGCAATCAATAGATTTAACCTGAGCCGTTTGCCGCAGGACTGGGGACCCCGTATAGTGCCTTCTATCTTATTATTCTTGTCTCCATTGAAGCCTACCGCACAAATCTGAGCATCTTTCTGAACAGCCTCACTATTGCCAAGTCGGAAAGGCGTATCTTCCTCAGTGGTTTTCAAGACAATGAGATCGTTTTCGTAATCAGATGCAATGATGCCCTCAACCGTATAAACGGATCCTGTGTCAACGTGTGTCACAGTCACCTTTGTAGCACCTGCAAGGCCATGAAAGCACGTCACAATTTTATCACGTCCGACAAAGAAGCCACTCTCTCCACCTCTCCCAATCCAGCCTGGGATTTCGATTTCGGTCTCAATGTAAACTGCTGTGCCGACGATTTCTTCGACAGGTTGTTGGTTTTGGTCATTTTTCGTATCTGCCACTATACCGCTCTCCTTGTATACTACAATATCTCACATGGCACCTATATTCATTATACACTAAATCTCAGTATCTATACCAAAAAAGATTTGACATCACGCCATAGCATGTGGTATCATACAATTAATAAACACATTATTTAATTAGGTTTACACCGAGCGGGATTGTCGGATGTTTTATCAATCGCTTACCACACTGACATCGCAATATAGGAAGTTTGTGCACTATAATACCCTATACCAAAATAGCCTTCGTGCTGTCATGGGTTTGCGCGCCATATCCATTATTATTGCTATTCGTCGCGCTGTGGTGGGCTAATCACGAGCAGATAAGAATTTTATTCGAGCGCCCATCACTGAAGCAGACGATTTCAGTGAGGGTGTTTTTTTATTTAACGTAGGTAGCAGACTAAAACCTTTGATCTGGAGATTGAGGCTACATGAGGAAATACACATGTTTGAGTCAATCGTGCATTCAGCAGAAAGAGCCTTATGATGCCAACCCAGTACTGGTTTACCAGATACCCTGTTTCGGTTCTCACTGTGAAGCAGGACGAAACAGGCCCAGGAGGCTAATAGTTTAAAAAATGTTTGAAGAGGTATCACCGCAATTTACATTTGCAGAGAAAGAGAAACAGACCTTAGCGTTCTGGCGTGAAAACGACATCTTCCAGAAGAGTATGGAGATGTACAAGGACGCGCCGCCCTTCGTTTTTTTAGAGGGACCACCGTTTGCAAATGCACCACCCGGTGTGCATCACGTCCTCGCGCGCATCATGAAAGATGCAGTGTGCCGCTATAAGACGATGACGGGACATTACGTCCTCCGTAAAGCAGGTTGGGACACCCACGGACTCCCTGTCGAATATCAGGTCGAAAAGCAACTCAATATTACAAATAAAGCAGAATTAGAGGCTTACGGCGTTCAGAACTTTATCGAAAAGTGTAAGGAAAACGTGTTCCAATTCGAGCAGGATTGGCGAGAGATGACAGAACGCATCGGATTCTGGGTCAATCTGGATGAAGCCTACATCACGTTGTCAAACGATTACATTGAGAGTGTCTGGTGGGTGCTGCGACAAGCGTGGGATAAGGAACTGCTATATCAGGGGCATAAGGTGCAGCCGTATTGTTATCGGTGTGGCACCACCTTAGCAAGCCACGAAGTCGCGCTCGGTTACCAAGAGGTCGCCGATCCGTCTATCTTCGTTCGGTTTCCATTGAAAAACAGGGAGAACACCTATCTACTCGTCTGGACGACGACACCATGGACGCTACCCTCTAACGTCGCTGTCGCTGTCGGCGAGGACTACGACTACGTCGCAGTTGAAGAGCACAACGGGCAACAGCTCATCCTCGCGAAAGAGTGTATGCCGAGCCTGTTTGGAGATGAACCGCCGCAGATCGTCGAAACCTATAAGGGTACCGATCTCCGTGATTGGGAATACGAACCACTCTTTGACAGTGGCGAACATCCGGAAAAATCCCACTATGTCGTCACCGGAGATTTCGTAACAACGACAGAGGGCAGCGGCTTGGTCCACATTGCTCCCGCCTTCGGGCAAGATGACTACGACATCGGACAAAAATACAACCTACCGTTGGTGCAATTGGTAGGTGCCGATGGCAGATTTGTTTCGGAGGTTAAAGAGTCGTGGGCAGGTGAATACGTCAAAGATGCCGACCCACAAATCATTGAGAACTTGGACGGGCGCGGATTGTTGTTCAAAGCAACTGAATATACCCACCAATATCCGTTCTGTTGGCGATGCGATACACCGCTGCTCTACTACGCACGCGAATCGTGGTTTATCCGGACGACCGCTATTCGGGACCAGATGCACCAGCACAATCAAGAAATCAACTGGTATCCTGAGCATATCAAAGACGGACGTTTTGGGAATTGGTTGGAAAACAATATTGACTGGGGTTTGAGTCGTGAACGCTATTGGGGTACGCCACTGCCGGTCTGGGCGTGTGATGATTGCGGACACCAACACTGTGTCGGCAGTATCGCCGAATTGAAATCACTCGGCACGGATGTACCCGATGATATTGAATTACACCGTCCGTATGTGGACGACGTTGTCCTCAACTGCAAGAAATGCAGCGGCACGATGCATCGCGTACAAGATGTAATTGACTGCTGGTTCGACTCCGGCTGCGCACACACCGCACAATGGCACTACCCTTTTGAAAACAAGGAGCTATTTGAACAGGCTTATCCAGCAGATTTCATCTCCGAAGCCATCGATCAGACCCGTGGCTGGTTCTATAGCCTCTTGGCGACCAGCACACTCCTCTATGATAAGCCTGCCTACAAAAATTGTCTCTGTCTCGAACTTATCCTCGCCGCCGATGGACAAAAAATGAGTAAGAGTCGAGGGAACACGGTGGATCCGTGGACAATTTTAGACGAGCAGGGCGCGGATGCGATGCGGTGGTATATGTTCACGGGATCGCCACCGTGGGCACAGCGGACTTTCAAAATTGATGGCGTTGACGAAGCATTGAAAAAGTTCATGGGAACCCTCCAGAACGTCTATAGCTTCTTCGTGATGTATGCCAACTTAGAACAGATTGATGTTTTGCAAGATACACCGCCGGTTGCGGAACGTACCGTTGTAGATAGGTGGATCTTGTCTCGTCTCCACACGCTCATCGACGGCGTGCGTGATGAGATGGAGAACTACCAACTCACGAACGCGCCACGTGCGATTGAGGCGTTTATGAGGGACCTCAGCAACTGGATGTCCGTCGCACCCGCGACCGTTTCTGGGGTGCAGAAAGCCGGACCTGATAAGCAAGCCGATTATGCCACGCTTTATGAGGTACTTGTTACTGTGGTGAAAATCGCTGCACCATTCGTCCCATTTGGCGGATGAACTCTACCGAATCTGGTATGTTCGCTTGATGCTGAGGCAACCATTGAGTGTTCATCTTGCAGCAACCCAGTAGCAGACGCTTCGCTGAAAAGATGCACAGTTAGAGACCAATATGGCTTTCATTCGCGAAGTGATCAGATGGGGCATGCCGCGCGCAAACGTTCCGGTATCAAGACGCGTCAACCGCTTGCAGAGATACCATCGGTGGACTCCCGACGCAGAAAAAGAGACGGTTAACCGTTTGGCGGAACTCGTCTACGATGAACTGAATGTCAAAGTCATCGTCTTCACAGAAGATTGGGACACTTCGCGCAAGGTCACACTCAAACCGAACTTCAGGGTATGGGACACCAAATACTGTAAAGGGTTCAAGCAATCGCGAAGGCACTCGCTGGTGCCGATTTGCTGTGCAGTGCGTTGAAAGCAGAATTGGAAGCGAATGGCAGTTTACAGATCGAAGCCAGGAGAGACCTACAACCCTTGATCAATCAGAATGACGTGGCAAACGCAGAACCGAGAGGGTTTCTTGTAGAAGTAGATGCACGGAAATTCGTCGCATTGTCAACGGACTGACGCATGAATTGGTACTTGAAGGCTTAGCACGCGAACTTGTCAACAAGACCAAAACATGCGGAAGGAAGCTGACTTTAACGTGTCTGATCGGATTATTAAACTCAGTCTGACCGATGCATCACCGCTCGTAGACGAAGCGTTTCAAGCGCAATCGGGCGAATAATACCTCCGAGAAACCGCTGACAGACCGCAGTAGTAGACCGCCGCCGATGTGAAAATGCATTCACCCTCAGCGCAAAAACTCACGGATGAACTGGCAACAACCTTGAGCGTTTGAGCAAATCTGAGCTGCCACGCGTACAGTCTCTGCATACTGCGCGGCGAGTGTGTGGAGTGGTTTTACCAATCCTCGCGCTCCACGCTGCGCATGCAAAAACCGCTCCGTATGCACCAGTAGATTGTCATATAGTAGCACTATTGCTACACATATTGACACCATAGTAGCACTAGTATGCGACATAAAAATATGGTAAATAGACAATGTTTGGCGCCGCAACCGAATTGAACTGCCTGGAAACACCGTTCGTCAGTGTTATGTGGTGTCGCGGCGTGTCCGTGTGGGAAAAACGTGCTTGTGGCCAGACCTCTTCCAATAGTGAATATTTCGACTGTGAATTGCCCAGTCCGGGTCAGACGATTGATGGGAGACGCCGCAAGAATTTCTGGATAATTAGTGTAGGGAATGAGGACGGATTGTGCTTGATGGAAAAGCATCGGGTACCGAAACCATCAGGAGCGAGTGTTAAACAAATTGCTGCGATCACTACCACAGATTCAGATCGTCGCGACCGGCGGTTCATCAACACTGGTGCCAGTGACCTAAATTAAGGATACGCTCGTTGGGCGCGCGTAATCCGAATTGTGGTTAACTACCTCTTATAACAGGCGGGGACCTCAGCGATTTCAACCAATCAGACCACCTTGTCAGCATCGAATGTTGCATGGCGGGTGTTACCCCGTTTTTCCTTGAGGCGAACTTCCCGACCTGACCTTTTTCACAGAGGTGGATAGATGCCGACTTGGGCAAAAGACATCCAAGAGCTCTTTCGACATTGAACGCACCGTTACGCTTTACAGAAATTCCAGAGTTCGCCTGAACTCCTCATGGCACAGAGCGGTTGGGGTTTTGAAGCCTCCAGGTTTTCTGCACGTCCATGTGAGGGTTACGGTCGTGGCACCATATCGAAACTATCTCTCCATTTTGGAGGGCGGCGGCGACCTTCGTGTGCATGTCAATCCGTCCGTTCAGTCCGTCGGCAACGGAGGGAGAGGAGTTGTCGCTACGCGCACCGAAGTCTATGGATTCGACACCGGATTGGCTGGTATTATCGAGGCTGGTCGCAACTGCGACAAGAAGATCTCGGTTTTGCTGTGGGAACACTTTGTCTCAATGAGATTATGGCACACACACAATCCGCGAGGGGAGATTCCCACTATTGGCGTAAGTCCGAAACCCGAGGGGCGGACAAGAGGTCGATTTTGTACTCACCACGCGCCACGTCAACGTACCGACTGCTATTGAGTGCAAGTGGCCGCTCAGATTTTCGCCACGGCGCGCCGCCCTGCTCTGGGCGTTCGCAGTTGGACAATATCCAGAGGGCGGAAAAGGACAACTATGGTCGTAGCAGCACACGATGTATAACGATCGTCCCTTCACAAACAAAAGTTACAATGGCAGCAGCCAGGTTATAAGTTTGTGAATTGGATACATTGATTGCTGAAATATGTTCGTCTGGACCGTTTTGTTAAAAAACTGCCTTAAAGCGAGAATTTTTGCTATAGTACGGTTTAAGATGGATTGTTAGTTTTCCCCTGTTCCCAAAAACCTATCTCATAAATACTGATTTCTGTGGCGAGGTTTCTGTGCGCTCAGCCTTCATGAGTAACTTATTAAATCCCAGTTAGAATTAGGGCTATTAGTTTAGTTTTACTATTTTGGTTGGAAATGTCGCGATTCGGAGAGTGGCTCTACAGTGGGAAAGCGCGATCGGAGAGTTGCTCCTACAGTGGGATGTCAAGATTTAGCGTTCACTCTTACAGAGAACTAAATGACCCTATTTAGATGAAAGGAATTCCGGTCATGCAAGATTTTTCGTATATTGCAGCGAAAACGAACCGGAAGCCGTTGCTCTACTCGACGAAAAGGGAGAAAGTGCACGGATCTTAGCAGGTGGCACACGACCTTATCGTTCAGGTTCGAGAGGCACGCCGAGACGCGTTGATTGGATGATCGACGTCAAATCCATCCCCGAGGTTAACGTTTTAGATTACGATGCCCAACGCGTGGCTTGGACACTCGGTTGCTGCAGTTGAGTGCTATAAAATACGCCGTTGATACTATCTGCGATGCTATCCCGGGTTAATCGATGCGACGACATTATTGGTGGCACAGGCGATTCAAGGCCGCGCCGGTGGTCGGTGGAAACCTAGTGTAACGCTTCACCTGCTGCAGACGGTATATACCGCCATGATTGTCTTGAACGCTTCCTGCGTCATTGCCGGCGCAAACGGTGTGTGAACGCGAACTTCCTGTTGAACAATTTTGTACAGCCCCAGGACGAACAGCGTTAGGCAAAGGTGAAATGCTTATCTCTCTGAAAATACCGGCACCTGAAAGCAATTCAAGCTCCTACTATCTCCGATTTATCCCGCGCAATGAGATGGATATCGCTGTTGTTGGTGTCGGGGCATCCGTGACGCTGACGATGCGAACAGACGATTGTCTCCGCCCGAATTGCACTCGCTGCCGTCGCGCCCACACCGCTCTTTGCAGAAGAAGCGAGCACGCTACTTGCGGGTCAAGAGGTCTCTGATGCTGCAATCGATGCAGCCGCACAAGCCGCACAAGCGATTGCACGCCCGATTAGCGATATGCGTGGAACTGCTGAACAGCGAACACACCTCGTCGGGGTGCTGACGCGAACGCGCACTCAACGGCGCAATCCAGAGAGTCCGAGACGCAGCATAAGTTTTTTGTCTATTTTTCAAAACAGTCGTTAAGCCCAGCAGGAAATCGTTTTTGAAAACAGGATATCTGGTCCTTTGGATCGTTTGTGTATGTCCTATGTGAATTTTTAAGGGTTTATTACCCACGGACTTTGTTGAAATTTGCCGAAAACCCCGTTTTGGATAGGGGTCCCCACCGTTACTGGGAAGGGAGACAAACGGAGCGAAAACCGAATTGTTAAAAAATGAAAGGAACTCATATTATGGCGAGAAGATCGCACGTTCAGACCACTATCAATGGTGAAACAGTGGAATTTCTTGTGACCCCGGCAAAGCATGCTCGAGGTCCTCAGGGATGAACTCCACCTGACAGGTGCAAAAGGGCTGCAACAACGGCAATTGTGGGGCATGCAGTGTTATACTCGACGGCAGACTCGTCAATCATGCCTTGTCCTCGGTGTGAAAAACTGAAGGCAAATCCGTCGAAACCATCGAGGCGTTGCTGACCCCGAAAGCTGCACCCGATCCAAGATGCCTTCCTCGAAAAAAGCCGCGCCTCCAATGCGGTATTTGCACACCCGGTTTCATCATGAGCGGCGAAACACTCCTTGATCAAAACCCGAATCCGACAGAACACGAATCCGATACTGGCTGGCTGGGAATTTGTGCCGCTGTACGTTTACGATAAAATTGTCCGTGCTGTACTTGATGCAGCCGCAGCTATATGAAAGGAGCGTCCTTCGCATGACCGAGATAATAGAAATTGTGGTAGTCGTAGTAAGTCTTCTATTTCTCGCATGGCGAATTGACGAAAAATAGGAATGCCTGAAAACAAAGAATACAAAGTTATCGGACTCGTCCTATCGCCATGACGGTGTTGACAAAGTCACCGGCAGGGCACTTACGGGGCAGATTTTTCAAGCTGCCGGACTCCTTCACGGCAGGGTTGCTACGGAGTCCGCACCGCACATGCACGAATCCTCTCATTGATTCGAGTCGTGCTGAGGCACTCCCCGGTGTGAAAGGCGTTGTCACTGCGAGATTTACCGGAGCAGCGGACAAAATCGCTGATCTTGGGGAGGTGCTGTAACCTTAAATACCTCTGTGATAACATCTTGGCGAGCGACAGCACTCTATAAAAGGCCACGCGATCGCTGCTGTCGCTGCGACGATCCCACATATCGCCGAAGAAGCTTGCACGCTCATTGATGTTGAATACAGGTGCTACTGTTTTAAGGTGCGGCAAGCGATGAGTCGGATGCACCCTCCTGCACGAAACCCTCAAAACCACCTCAATGGGTAGGGACGGACTGACGACAAGCAACGTTGCAAGCCATATCCAGCACAAACTCGGTGATCGGAGAAAGGGTTCGCGCCGAAGCGGATGTCGTCATCGAACGTGATTCGTTACAGGCACCGTCATCAAGGCTATATTGAACCGCATAACGCCACAGCACACTACAATCAGGATGGGAGCTAACTATATGGTGTAGCACACAGGGTGCGTTTACCGTTCGCGAACAGGTCGCCGAAATCCTCCATACCCCGTTCCAAAATTAAGGTCGTCCCAATGGGAAATTGGCGGTGGGTTGGTGGTAAGATTAGTGTCTATATAACCTGTCGCCGCTTGCTCGCAAGAAACAGGTAAACCGGTCAAGGTCCTGATGAACCGAACAGGGTGTTTGAAGGAACGGACCGACACCTGCCTCTTACCTTCGCGTCAAGATGGGTGCTACCAAAGACGGGAAGATAACTGCTGCCCAAGCATACCTTGCTTTTGAAGCAGGGGCATACCCCGGTTCTCCGGTTGGACCTGGCGCAATGTGCATTTTTTCACCTACAACATGAAAACGTTATCATTGACGGCTACGATGTCGTTGTGAACAAACCGAAAACCGCATCCCTACCGCGCTCCTGGAGCGACAACGCCGCTTTCGGTTCAGAGACAGTTCTTGACGAGATCGCGGAAAAACTGGATCCTCGATCCACTTGAAATCCGGTTGCTCAACGGTGCAAAAGAGGGCGACCGACGCGCAGATGGACCCGTCACCCTCGCATCGTTTATTGAGACGGTCGACGCAGTGAAAGCGCATCCGCACTATGCAGCACCGAATGGCAAGAAACACCACGGTCGCGGTGTCGCGTCCGTTACTGGTTCAATATCGGTTGGAGTCCAGCGTAGCGATTAATGTCAACTCCGATGGCACAATTAACCTCGTTGAAGGTTCCACAGACATCGGCGGTACGCGCGCTTCGATCGCTATGCAAGCGGCAGAAGTCCTCGGTATCCCCGCTGAATCGGTCAATCCAAGCGTCGTTGATACCAATTCTGTCGGGTTACACTGCTGTGACGGGTCGTAGTCGTACAACGTACGCAACAGGGTACGCCGCTTATGAAGCCGCGCAAGATGTCAAGCGGCAGATGATCGAGCGCGCCGCGAAACTCTGGGAAGTCGATGAAGCCAACGTGCAGTTTTTCAGATGGTGAATTCTCAAGCATCAACGGCAAAGAGGAGCAGATTAGTTTCCGAGACCTATGTGGTCGGCTCGGTGAAACCGGCGGACCGGTTGTAGGCAGAGGGACAGTCAATCCTGGTGGTGCTGGTGGTGCCTTTGCAACCCACTTGGTGGATGTAGAAGTGGATGAAGAGACCGGCAAGGTTACCATCCTCCGCTACACCGCAACACAGGATGCCGGAAAAGCCATCCATCCGAGTTACGTTGAGGGACAGATCCAAGGCGGTGTCGTCCAAGGCATCGGTTGGGCATTGAATGAGGAGTACATCTACAACGCTGAAGGCGCGATGACAAACGCCAGTTTCCTCGATTACCGAATGCCGACCTGCTTGGATTTACCTATGATTGATGCCGTCATCGTTGAAGTCCCGAATCCGGGGCATCCGTATGGTGTGCGTGGCGTCGGCGAAGTGCCGATTATACCACCGCCTGCTGCGATCGCCAATGCTATCTACGATGCTATCGGCGTTCGGATGACAGAACTCCCGATGTCCCCTGACCGGCTTCTGAAAGCGATGGGCAAAATCTAATTCGTTGCAAATTCCAGAGGGCGAGGCCTTGTGCCTTGTCCTCTTTTATAAGTAGTTTAGGACTTACGCACTTGCTCTTGAAGTCCCCCTGATAAGGGGGATTTAGGGGGTTAAATCGCTGAAATAAAAAAATGCCAACCGTTCGTCGGTGTCCTGACTCGGCGCGCACGCAACGATACTATCCAGAGAGTCCGAGACGCAGCATAAATTGTGTTGATTTTTTAACGGCAATCTTTAAGGGTTTAGGTACCCGTGGATGTTCTTGGAACTTGTCGAAGACCCATCTTGGAAAACGGACAATATGTCAACTACCCAAGCCTAAAGACTTGGGCTTGAAGATAGCATCAAACAGCGTCAACTGTGTTGCGTGAGTCAAGTCCAAATCTTGTGCTTCGTTCTTGTTTCTCGTTTCATTGAGGGTGGTAACCCACCGCTCTCCACGAAAGGCAGCAGCTGCCTTAAAAAGTATGTTTTGCGCAGCATTGTGGTCTCTATCCATAGTGTTTCCACAAGACTGACAGTTAAAAGTTCGTATCGCCAGCGATAGTTTCTTTGGCGATTTCTGACCGCAGCGAGAGCAGATTTGCGAGGTGTTCTTGGGATCAACTTGGTGGAAGTGGAAACCGTCTCTTTCGGCTATGTTTCCTGCCCACTCAAAGAAGGTTGCCCAAGAGGCATCGCTGATACTCTTGCTGAGGTGTTTGTTCTTCACCATATTAGATACGCGTAAATCCTCTGCCACTAAAACATTGTTTTTCAGGTGGTGGTAGAGTTTATAGACGAGTTTGCCGATAAAGTCTTTACGTCTATTTACAGTTCGCTCATGGTGTAGAGCGATTTTGTGTTGTTGTTTCTTTCTTCGGTTGCTACCTTTTTTCTTACGAGAAAGGTCTTTAGAGTGTTTTCGCAGCAGCCCTTCGGATTCACGATACCAGCGTGGGTTGTCTTCCTTTTCACCTTCGGAAGTCGTCAGGTAGTGCGTTGTTCCCATATCTACTGCGATAGCGTCTGTAGGCTCAACTTTCGTGTGTAGCGGGGAGTTCGCAAGAGATATGTGCATACCAGCCACTTGCTTTTTTGACGAGTGTGACTTCTTTCGGATCGCCTCGCAACGGACGGGGCATGTATATTTTCAGTTCGCCTAACTCCGGCACTTTGAGTCGGTCATGTTTCCATCCTGTTTCGCGGATAGGATTTTGGCGAACACGTATTGTCTGTTTATCAGTATCTTTTGTCTTTCGACGAACCACTTTCGGATATTTGCGGAGACTCCACGTCAGAGAACGCACACGCTTTTTGTAGCGCGGGTAACCTTTTTTAGCGTCTCCGTTTTCGCAGCGTCTCCGAAAGTTAGCGAAGGCTTTGTCGTTTCTTTTCAAGGCATGGCACTGCATATCTTGTGACACTTCACGAAAATCGTCATACTTCTCACGGGCCGCGGTTAGAAGTTTCTCTTGCTCAGAAAGCAACACAAAACGATCTTCAGTTTCTTTCGCAACAATCCGATCGTGGCGCGCAGAGTTTTGAAGTTCGCAAAGGTGGTCAAGCCACTCTAATAAGGTTGTTTCCTGTGTTTTCGTAGGATACACAGGGTATTTAAAAGTTAATCTCAGGGTGTATCCCCTATCCGCCTTTAACCCCTATTCAGTGGGTAGGAAACCGACACGTAAACTTGCGGTTACGCTGAAGATGTCTGCCCAACGGATACTCTAATTATACCACATTTTATACCACATTTCAAACCGAATGTCAACTCTTTTTTTTAAAGGTTTGGTCTAATTCACGAGGGCGGATTTTCCTCCCAACGCTAAAGCATTGGGAAACTTCCAATCCGTAAACTTAGGTGAAAGGAGCGTCCTTCGCATGACAGAGATAATAGAAGATGCGGTAATCCTTAGCAAACTTCTATTTCTCGCACGGCGAATTGACGAATAATAGGAATGCCTGAAAACAAAGAATACAAAGTTATCGGGACTCGACCCATCCGGCATGATGGCGTAGAAAAAGTCACCGGTAGGGCACTTTACGGGGCAGATTTTCAGACTGTAGGACTCCTCCACGGCAAGGTGCTACGGAGTCCGCACGCACACGCGCGAATCATCTCAATTGACACGAGCCGTGCCGAGGCCTACCCCGGTGTTAAAGGCGTTGTCACCGCGCAGGACCTACCTACAGCGGAAGATAAAGTCGCTGACCTCGGGAAGGTGCTGTCAACCTTAAATATCTCTGTGATAACGTGTTAGCCAGCGACAAAGTTCTTTACAAAGGTCATGCTATCGCCGCTGTCGCTGCTACTAACCCGCACATTGCCGAAGAAGCCTGCAAACGCATTGACATTGAATACGAAGTCCTGCCGCCTGTCTTAGAGGTGCGGCAAGCGATGGCACCCGACGCGCCGCTCTTGCACGAAGATATGAAAACCTCGTCAATGGGTGAAACGGCTGATGAACCAAGCAACGTTGCGAGCCATCTACAACACAAAAAAGGCGATCTTGACAGAGGGTTCAATGAAGCCGATGTAATCATTGAGCGTGAGTTTGTAACGGGCACCGTCCACCAAGGTTATATTGAACCCCATAATGCCACCGCTCTCTACAACCCTGATGGCCAGTTAACGGTCTGGTGTAGCACGCAAGGGGCGTTTGTGGTTCGGGAACAACTGGCTGAACTTCTCCAACAGCCTGTCTCAAAGATTAAAGTGGTACCGATGGAAATTGGCGGCGGTTTTGGTGGCAAAATTAGCGTCTACATTAAACCGGTAGCAGCCCTGCTTGCGAAAAAGACAGGCAAACCAGTCAAGGTGCTGATGAGCCGCTCCGATGTATTTGAAGGGACAGGACCGACTCCTGCCTCTTACATTCGCGTCAAGATGGGTGCCACCAAAGCGGGGCAGTTGACCGCCGCTGAGGCGTATCTCGCCTTTGAAGCAGGTGCCTATCCGGGCTCGCCTGTCGGCGCGGGGACTATGTGCATCTTCGCACCTTACAACATTGAGAATGTGCTGGTTGATGGCTATGATGTCGTCGTCAACAAGCCAAAAACAGCCGCCTACCGTGCCCCCGGTGCAACGAATGCCGCGTTCGGTTCAGAGACAGTGATTGACGAACTCGCGCAAGCACTGAACATAGACGCGTTGGCATTCCGCCTGCTTAACGGCGTGAAAGAGGGCGACCGGCGTGCAGACGGTCCGGTTTATCCACGTATCGGCTTTATTGAAACAGTCGAAGCAGCGAAAGCACATCCGCACTATTCCGCACCGAATGGAAAGAAACACCACGGCCGTGGTGTCGCTGTCGGCTTCTGGTTCAACGTGGGTTTACAATCCAGTGTTACTATAAGTGTTAATTCAGATGGAACCATTAACCTTATTGAAGGTTCAACAGACATCGGTGGCACGCGTGCTTCAATCGCTATGCAGGCGGCGGAGGTACTCGGCATCCCCGCTGAATCGGTAAACCCGACTGTCGGGGATACCAATGCTGTCGGTTACACTGCCGTGACAGGTGGGAGCCGCACGACGTTCGCCACCGGATACGCCGCTTATGAAGCCGCACAAGATGTCAAACGGCAGATGATGGAACGCGCCGCGAAAATCTGGGGAATCCATGAAGATAACGTGCGATTTGCTGATGGTGAGTTTTCCAGTGTCAATCGGACCTGGCGTTACGGTAAAGAGCAGAAAATCAGTTTCCGAGATCTCGCCGCCCGCCTCGGTGAAACCGGCGGCACTATTGTAGGCACAGCTGCAGTCGATCCGGCAGGGGTTGGCTGCACATTTGCGACCCACATTGTCGATGTAGAAGTAGATGAGGAGACCGGCAAGGTCCAGATCTTGCGCTACACCGCAACGCAGGATGCCGGAAAAGCCATTCATCCGAGTTACGTTGAGGGACAGATGCAAGGTGGTGTCGCCCAAGGTATCGGTTGGGCATTGAATGAGGAGTACATCTATAATGCAGAAGGCGCGATGACCAACGCCAGTTTCCTCGATTACCGAATACCCACCTGCTTGGATCTACCGATGATCGATACTGTTATCGTTGAAGTCCCGAATCCGGGGCATCCGTATGGCGTACGCGGTGTCGGCGAGGTACCGATTGTGCCACCGCCCGCTGCAATCGCCAATGCCATCTATGATGCTATCGGTGTTCGGATGACAGAACTCCCAATGTCGCCTGACCGACTCTTGAAAGCGATAGGCAAAATTTAGAATCCAAAAAACGAAAGAGGTGCCTGCAAGGCGCGCCTTTTTAGATGCTCCTCCAACAACGGATAATGGATAAGTGGCACACCCACCAAAAAAGACAGTGTTGTCTAACTAATACCAAATTAACCCCATTTGTAGCGCGAGGTCCCTGTGCCTCGCAATGCTGACTTGATCAAAAGACTTCTAATCAAGGTAATTGGGTATAATGGGACGGATATACGCAAAGTCCCCCTGATAAGGGGGATTTAGGGGGTTTCTTCTAAAACGAACAAGGAAACCAAACCATTCTGTGGACAATACCCTCCCAAAAAGGATCGAAAATGCCAATCGTAGCCATCCCATCCCTCCTACGTAAATTAACCAGCGGTGAAGAAAGTATCACTGTTCCCGGTGCCACTATCCGAGAGGTCATTGACAATTTAGAGAGTCGTTACCCGGGTATGAAAGCGCGACTGTGCGAGGAAGATCGCATTAAGCCCGGTATCGCCGTATACGTCAATGGTCTTCTCACACGAGGCAGTATCCGAGAACATGTTGACGCAGACGCAGAGATCCATTTCCTTCCCGCTATAGGCGGTGGTAGGGCAGAACCCCATGCGTGTCAATTTAAGAAAAAATAACCGTCGCTGTCCCCAGAAACGGTAGGCGTTGTTTGAAACTGCGCCGGATTTTACCAAAGATCTTGTATGTGCTAAAACCCCTCTTGAGTCCCGTAGGGACGGTATGTTTATAGCAGCGTGTGTAAAAAAAGTCCACAGCCCTGTAAGGACGGCATGTTTATATCTATAGTTGCTAAAACGTTGTCAAAAACCCCTAAATTGACGCTTATGGTGGTGGTAGGGCAGCACCCCTATAACATTTTGGAACGTTTTCGCTCTGTGAGTGTGTCTTAACTCAACGGTAGTATATCAGTGCGTATTTTGCGCTATTTAGAGATATCTTGTTTAAGAAGGAGACAGAATGTTAGAACGATTTAACATGAAAATGCTCGGCGGTGCGTTCGTAATCGTTGTGCTGCTCTGCGCGGGGATCTATTTTTACGCGGAACGGAGCAACAAACGTTTTGCAGCAGAACTTGGAGAACCGCCGCAAGTCACTACCTTATCCGAACCGGCTCTTAAAAACGGAAAACAGTAAAGTGTCATCTGTTGAACAGGCGACACCTGTCAAGCCGCTGGAACTTGTGAACGAAGATGTGAGCAAAGATACTGTAGTATCCGAATCCGAACATGGAGACACTTCAGAACCGATAAACGAGGATGTTCCGGTTAAGGAGAGCGGGATAGCGGAATCCGCCGCTGAATTTGACCCGACCCCACTACTCTCAGCGTTCGGATTACCTGAAGAGGTGAGTACACTTCTTGATGAAGGCACCGGCGAGGAAGATTTTCAAAAAGCCGAAACGTACCTTATTGGAGAATACGGTCAATCCCCAGAAGTTACGGCGATACTTGACAGACTCAAACAGATGTCCGGAGGTCCGGTTGAACTCGACGCTTTAACAGGACTCTTTGAGGCATGGATCCAAGTTTTGCCAGAGGAAGACCGAGAGACGCGTCGGCAGTTGATGGGTGCGCTCACGCAACTCTACCAGGTACAGACATCGGGGGGTGGCGGCGAAATCCGTATAGAGGTCCGTGTTAACGAGAATGTTGTAGTCGAATAAATCTGCTATAGTTGTAGTTCCGCTTTAGTTTTAGTATCGTTGAAATAGAAGGAAAGAGTGGAAAAACGGATATACTTCCACAGAAACACCATTCCTATGGAATCAGGGGGACGGAAGCGTATACACACCGTGCCGGACCTTTACGATTTCACCCGCTTCTACGAGACGCGTGAGCTCATTATTTACCGCTTTTGGATGTCCTTCAATGGCTGTAACGAGTGCGGCTGTCTTTTTCTCACCATCAGAAAGAA